GTTCTGTTTTTTCTCCTCCTTTCCCAGTCTTATTATTTGATGACTTTCTTATGCTTGGATTCCCTTTTATTTACTTATTTATAATATAAGGTTTTTAGCTTGTGGTACCATGACGTTTATATATAGCACTTTATCTATATAGCAGTCTATTTAAAATTGATGGATGTTTAAGATTGGACAAATTTTAAAAGTGCATTTTTTTTGTTTTTACTCCTCGTCCCCCCCCCCCGATTTATGTATTTGACACATTTTACATCCTTTGTCTCTTAACTGTTTTAGATATAGTGGATTTTACTACTTTTGTCTTTTAAGCTTTATCCTAGGTTTATAAGTGATCTACCTTTACTATAGGTTTGCTTTTACTAGGGAAATTTTTTCTTATGTAATTTTCGTCTTATACTATTTTCTCTCCGTTTAAAGCCCCTTTGATATTTCTTTGAAGGCCATTTTGGTGGTGTTAAGCTCTTTTGACTCTTTATATTGCCTCTATTCTGAATAACTTTGCCTGGTATTTTTGTAGACTTTCTCTTTCAGCACTTTAAGCTCTATGTCCAATGTGGGGTTTGAACTCACATCCCCAAGATTGAGTTACATAAAGCCAGGCGCCCTTCCCTTTCAGTACTTTGAATATATCATGCTACTCTCTTCTGGCTTGTAATGTTTCTGCTGAAAACTCCACTGATAGACTTATGGATATTTCCTTGTACATAATTAATTGCTTTTCTCTTGTTGCTTTTCGGATAGTCTTTAACATTTTTATTATGTCTTGGTGTGAACCTCTTTGGGTTCATATTGTTTGAGGTTCTCTGTGATTCTTGGACCTGGATGTGTTTCTTTCTTGATTACTATTAATAAATTAAGTTTTCTGTCCTCCCTTTTCCCTTCTGGGGCTCCTATAATGTGAATGTTGGTATGTTTGTTGTTGTCACAGAGGTCCCTTAACCTAGCATCATAAAGATTTTTTTTTTTACTGTTCAGTTTAGATGATTTTGTTTTCTGTATCCTCTATTCTGCTGTTGATTGCTTCTAGTGTTTTTCATCTGTTACTGTACTCTTCAGCTCTGGTATGTATGCATGTATATGCGTGTGTGTGTGTGTGTGTGTGTGTACGTATTACTTATTTTCTACCCCTTTGTTGAAGATGAGTTTATCTTCTCCCAAGTTCTGTGAACATCTTTATGACCATTACTTTTATCAGGTAGATTGCTTATCTGTTTTATTTAGCTCTTTGCAGTTTTGTCTTGTTCTTTCATTTGGACCATATCCATGTGTTTCTTTTTGTCTGGCTGTTTCTATATAATATGTAGGCCTGCTACATCTCCTGGTTTTAGAGGTATCAGTATGTAGGTGTCCTGTGGGGTTCAGAAGCACAATCCCCCATGGTCACCAGAACAAGGCACTCTACAGGTGTCTCCTGTGGGCTGCATGTACCCTCCAGTTGTGACTGAACTGTCTTGACTTTTGTGTGTGCTGATGGGTGGGCAGACTTCCAGTGTGGGTGGCTGTAAGGCCCTGCAGTGATTTGGGGATGAGTTGCTAGGCAGGGCTGCCCCCATCCACAGGGCCAGAGGTGCTTTAAAGGGGAGCCAGTCTTGGGACGCTTGGGTGGCTCATTTGGTTAAGCGTCTGATTCTTGGCTCCAGCTCAGGCCGTGATCACTATTCCTGAGTTCTCTTTCTCTCCATCTGTTGTTCACATACACTATCAATAAATAAATAAATGGAGAGCCAGTCCTGACCAAGACTTCCCACCAGACTGTGGTGGGGCAGGCGGCAGCTATCTTGGAGGTATGCTTACTGAGAGATGGGTTAGGTGGGTCAGATCTGCAGGGAAATGCCAGGATTGGGTAAGTGGTGCTAGCAATGTAGATGAAGAGTCCTGAACTGGCACCTGCCAGGATTGGGCCTGCTAGGCTGAACGAAGGCAGGAACAATTGCACCCATCAGCACTGCCCTTCCCAGAGAATATTTCTACAGATCTGTGTTCCTTGTGTTCCTCTGGCACTGGCTTTAAAATGAGTCAATATATCTCACTTACATAGAACCTAGGCGCTTTTCAATCTGCTGCTTCTGTGCTGGGTCTTAGACTTTGAGAGTGCATTGGCCTTAAAGAGCAGAGACTCCGTTTCCTACAGCTCTCCCGGAGTTAAACCTGGCTGATTTTCAAAGCCAGACATTATGGGGGGATACCTTCCTGGTGTAGATTCCCAGGACAGGGAGGGGGACCCAATGGGCTTGAACCCTTCATTCCTCAGGCAAGACCTCTGCACCTGTGATACTCTTTTCTACTTGCAGGTTGCTAAGTGCTTTTCAAACTGCTGTTTTTCTACCGGGTCTCAGGGTGAGTCAGCTTGCATGCAGGCCCTCCAAGCAGTGATTCTGTTTTCCTATAGCACTTTGGGACCTCCTACAGGTCTACCCTGTTCCAAGCCAAATGTTCTGGTGGCTTGTCTGATGCAGACCTTGGGGGTCTAGAGTGCCCAGTGTGGGGCACCAACCTCTTGTTCTTCCTAGAGAAGCATCTCTCTAGTGTGAGATCTCGCCCTATTGTGTTGCCACACTGGAGTTTTTTTGTTTTGTTTTGAGACCATGTCTCTGCCTCTCCCTTCGCAATGTGATCATTTATATCCTTTGCTGTGGAGGGCAAAGCACAATCCCCCATGGTCACCAGAATAAGGCCCTCTACAGGTGTCTCCTGTGGGGCTGCATGTACCCTCCAGTTGTGACTGAACTGTCTTGACTTTTAATTCATTTAGTTTTCAGATCTTTTTCAGAGGGAGAGGATCCATATGTAGCTGTAGACTTGGTATGCCTGTGGGAGGGGGTGAGTACAGCGTCTTCATATACCACCATTTTCCCAGTTGTATCTTTTATTTATTTTTGAGAGAGCGAGAACAAACCCCAAGCAGCACGGAGCCTAATGCAAGGCTCGATCTCACAAACTGCAAGATCATGACCTGGGCCGAAATCAAGAGCCGGATGCTCAACCAACAGAGCCACCCAGGCGCCCCTTCTCAGCTGAATCTTGAAAATTAGCTGCTAAAGCAATTTTTGGGTTAGATTAAGCCTTCAGAACACTTAGATTCGGTTGTATTAGGGAAGAAAATGTTCAGATAACATATTAAAATTTAAAGTGAGACTGCAGAAAGACCTGCCAATATCAAAGTATGAGGTTTTTTTCACATTTCAAACAGCAATGTAGTAACTAAATTCTTAAAAGAACTGCTGTCTACATTAGCACTAAAACATAGCTAATAACATCTGATGTTAACATTGTATTTAATAAGTAATGAACAGCAAAACAAACAATATACTCTTTAAATGTTTCGCTGAAACTCTCCACCATTTTGGCTTCATGTAATGAGGTATTTGTAGAATATACAGTCACATTTGATGTACATTTAAACTGAGTTTTTTTTGGTTTTTGTTTTTAGAAGGGGATGGTGGTCAGTAAGGAAACAAACCTGACTTTATTTTTGAAAGACAAAAACCAAAAATCTACGCAACTCCCAATTTAAATTAGGGTGGTTTCTATACTTCCTCTTCACATGCATATACTAAATAAAGCTAATTCACATCAAAGAAAGGTTTTTAAATTATATGCAGAAACTATACATTTTACCTTGTATCACTGCTGACTCCTGATGGGAGACCTTGGCTTTGTCTTAGGGAAAAAAGACATGCTTTAATTCTAAGGACAGAATTCTGTAGATCAGGCAACAGTGTATGCTTCAAAAGATATTAGAGCCATAGACTGAAATTATTTAGTGATAGTTACCAATATCCCATATGAAGGTAACAGTAAATGATTCAGTTTGGCTCTGTCAGCCATCCTATACCTGCTGGGTTACTGGCATATGACCCAAAAGCTGTAGCATTTGTTGGGAAATACTTTAGGAAGAGATGGCGTATAAGTTGATTCATCTTGGACTCCAAATGACTACCTAAACTCAGGTCAGGGAAGCAGTGTCATTTCATGGCTTGTTTTCCTGCATTTCCACACTACGAGGCATTTTCACTCACTTGAAAATAGTATGATAACGCAGTGATCTAGTCCATACCACTTATTCGACCTAGTGTTAGCATCTCACTAAAACTTAGAAAACCAGGCATTTTCTTTTAATTCAGGACTTTAAGTGACAATTACTATGTGAAGACAATACTTTATGATTTGGAAAGATGAAAACTCAACAAAACTGAAAAATTTGCAGGCAGCATCTAAAGCACTCAATGAATGCTAACATTCCGTTACCATATCAGTATTTTTTAAAAATAAGATTTCTGTCTTAATCTATGGAAGAACAGGTATAGTAGCCCTTAGGCCACTCCTCATGGTGCTAAATGTTACTTACCCAGGACTAGCCTTGATAATGATTATTAGATTTGCTTAAACAGCTTGAAGCACTTGATACTTGAAGTATACTTAAAGAATTTACTGAGCTGATTCTTAAGGAGCCAAGTCAGTTATTAATATCCTAAGTCTTGAAAGCTCCCTTCAAATGTAATTTTCATAGTCCTTAAATTTTAATTGTCACTGTTTATTACTGTTTTGGCTACATTCTCTACAATTTCAGCAGCATCTTAAAGAGACAATGTGTCTATATGTACAATGAAAAAACAAAATGGCTTGCAACATGAGAAATCAGAGCCACAGTTTAACTGTACAATATTAAGGAGAATCTGTGGTATCACCTCCTTTTTCCGCAACATGGACAACTTACATGTAAGTATCAGCATTATGAATGTGACAAGTAATTCTTACAGGAGTAAAATACAACATCCTGAAAAATAATGGTTTCTACCATACAAGGCAGTTAGAAAATGTTCACATTTTAACAAATCTGTACAAACCACAAGAAACTTGTTTATGGGACCATCATCCCACCTTGCTGATAAGAACCTTCTAGAAATGTAGGATAAACATGAACAATTTATAAATCTAGTATCTATGTGCTCCACAGCCCTAGAACCCAAGAAACTGATTTAGTGAACCCTAATATGTCCAAGAAGGATCATTTTTTACATGCCTTGATTGTTAATGAATGCCAACCTTTAATATCTCTCTATGATGTACAGTCAACTTGCACCTTTAAAGAGGTCATTAAATTTTTTAGCAAAGAAGCAACGTCATTTAGCAGCAATTAAAGCGCCTTCAAGAAGACTTAAAAAAAATACAATATCCAATTAGAAAAGCCGTATTTTTAAACATTTGTACAAGAATAAGCTGCTGAAACTTGGTAATTGAAATACAACATCTGTACAACAATTTACAATAGAGCTAGAAGGGAACTTTATCATTATCCTGCATAGAACTGGTCTGGTCCACATTTGGTCACATACTATCACTTGTTTATGAACAAGGCCTGGTAATAAAGGGAAAATAATCTTAATTCTAACATGTTGAAAACACCAGAGATAATGCAATTTAGCGAATTCAACTGATTTCAAAACAAGCAGCTCATTTTGTCAAAGGTGTAAAGTATCTAGAAATAACAGCTCTCCCGTTAACATGACTAGTGTGTGTGGGGTGGGGAACGGACATGTGACTCCGAGGTACAACTTGGTAAAAGCCAGAATAGGCAAGTGACAAAGTCTAACTTTGTCCAAAGATGCTAACTCTCACATTCTACTACTACAAAACACAACTGTCACTGCCATTCAGTTCTTACTTTGGTTTCAGCAGGTTAACTGCTGAATGCTGAAGAATGTATCCAGGCACTATAGTTCTTGTGTTAGAAATATTTTTTCCGTGTGTTTTTAAATAATGAAAAACTACCCTTCATATTAGAACTCTCTAGTAACAACCAAATGTATTTAAGTATTATAAACGTTATTTACAGTGTTCCCCCAAACGATTTTTCTCCTTAGTATGGTATTCCTGTTCCTGTGCAACAGGCAGTCATCTTTCACTGCTTAAGGTTACAAAGTGTACACTTTATTCATTGTCCATGATCCACTCTCATACAAATGACGCTATGAAGAACTTCAGTTCACAAACAACCATGTCTGTGTGAAAAAGGAAACAAAAACAATCAAATGCTCTCAAACTCAAGTGTGTATCTGGAAGCAATTCAAAGATACCATGCCAATTTTGGAGGAAAATCAGTAAGTAATTATGCTTGAAGAAGGGGGTGTGGGGGATGCTGTGAGGCCAGCCATGTGTAAGTTTCCTGAAGAATTTGATCTTCTCATGTGCGGGAGAAGGTATGGGTCATTTGCCAGTTGGTGCACATCAAACCGATCTTCTTTTCGGTAGGCCAAACAGCGTCTTATAAAGGCCTTAAAAAAAAAAAAAATTCAGAAGTTAAAATTTTTGTTTTTAAAAAAATGTATTTTGGGGGGAGGGGCAGAGAGAGGGGGGCAGAGGATCTGAAATGGGCTCCGTGCTGACAGTAGTAAGCCTGATGTGGGGCTCGAGCTAAAGAATTGTGAGATCATGGACACTCAACTGACTGAGCCACCCAGGTGCCCCAATTTTTGCCCCTTCTAATCATCCTACAGAAGGATGAACACATTTAATAAATATATTTCATTTCATTAGTATTCAAATCTTTAAAATTCTGTAGCAATAAAATTCTTCAAATTCAACTCAATTCATCCTTAGTGGTTCACTTTAGTCTAAATGATAATTGCTACCGTTTAAACTTCCTGTTGGAAAGATGCATCTCATTTTTAAAAAAATTTACAGCTAGAACAAAAATTAGCATTTTAATCCCTTTTGGATATGTAGTTAATTCAGTGGCATTTTAAGTACATTCATGTTGTGAAACATCAAGATTGACCATGTCCAGAACATTTTCATCATCGAAAACTTATCCAACATCCAAAGCAGAAGTCAAAATTCTGTATCCATTAAACAAGAACTCCCCACTCCTCCTTCCCCCAGCACTTGGTAACCACTATTCTACAAGTAGAGTAAGATTTGTCCTTTTGTGTAAGGCTTATTTCCCTTACCATAACGCTTAAGAGTTCTCCATGTTGTAACATGCATCAGAATTTCATTTCTTTTTAAGGCTGAATACTCCATTCCATGCAATTACCACATTGTATTTATCCATTTATCTGTTGACTGACATTTGCATTGTTTCTTCCTTTTGACTACTGTGAATAATGCTGCTGTGAGCAATGGTATATAAATATCTATTTGATCCTTGCCTTTGGGGGAGGGGGGGCATATACCTAAAAGTGGAATTGCTGGATGACAATTATTTTTAAAAACTGAAGCATAACTGACTGATCTATAACATTAGTTTTAAGTGTGCAACCTAATAATTCGATATTTGTATATTGCAAAATGACCAGCACAATGTTAACTAGTTAACATCCATCACCAAAGTTACAACTGTTCTTTAAGTTTATTTACTTTCAGAGAGTGAGAGTGAGCAAGCCAGCATGAGTTGGGGGTGGGGGGGTGGCAGAGAGAAAGGGAGAGAGAGAATACCAAGCAGGCTCCACACTGTCAGCACGGAGCCTGATGCAGAGCTTCACTTCATAAACGCTGAGATCATGACCTGAGCTGAAATCAAGAGATGGATGCTTAACTGACTGGGCCGCCCAGGAGCCCATTTTTCTTTCATTTGATAAACTTAAAATCTATTCTCATAGCAACTTTCAAATATATAGTGTTATTAATTATAGTCACTATACTGTACATTACATCCCCATGACTTAATTTTTTAATTTACATCCAAATGAGTTAACATATAGTGCAACAATGATTTCAGAAGTAGATTCCTTAATGCCCCTTACCCATTTAGCCCATCCACCCTCCCACAACCAACCCTTTGTTCTCTATATTTAAGAGTCTCTTATGCTGTCCCCTCTCATTTTTGCTTCCCTTCCCTTATGTTCATCTGTTTTGTATCTTTAAAAAAATTTTTAACATTTTATTTTTGAGAGAGCATGAATGGGGAGGGGAAGAGAGAGAGGGAGACACAGAATCTAAAGGGGGCTCCAGGCTCTGAGCTGTCAGCACAGAGCCTGAATCGGGGCTCAAACTCATGAACCGTGAGATCGTGACCTGAGCGGAAGTCAGTCACTTAACTGACTGAGCCACTCAGGTGCCTTTATCTTCTGTTTTGTATCTTAAATTCCTCATATGAGTGAATCCCCATGACTTATTCTGTAACTGGAAGCTTTGACCCTACCCTTATCGCTTATTCTGCTCACCCCCTACTCCCTGCTTCCCACCAGTCTGTTCTTTGTATCCATGAGCTTGGATTTTTTTTCCATATACAAGTGCGATTAGATGGTATTTGTCTTTCTCTGACTTATCTCACTTATTTAGCATAATGCATTTAAGGTCCATCCATGTTGTTGCAACTGGTGAGATCTTCCTTCCTTCTCATGGCTGAGTAATATCCTGTAAATGTGTGTGTGTGCATGTATATATACATATACACGCATATATACATATACATACACACATGTTCAGCCACTATGTTGTTTTCATGTCTTGGCTACTGTAAATAATGCTGCAGTGAACACAGAGGTGCAGGTGTATTTTCCAATTTGTGTTTTCCTTTTCTGTGGATAAATACCCAGAAGTAGAATTACGTGATCACATGGAAATTCTATTTTTAATTTTTTGATAAAACTCCATACTATTTTCCACAGTGGCCATACCAATTTACATTCCCACCAAACTGTGCACAAGGGTTCCCTGTTCTCCACATCCTTGCCAATACTTGTTTCTTGCCTTTCTAACAGCCATTATAACAGGTATGACGGGATATCTCACTGTGGTTTTGATCTGCACTTCCCTGATTAGTGATGATGAGCACCTTTCTGTGTATCTGTTAGCTATATGTCTTCTTTGGAAAAGTGTCTATTCAGATACTCTGCTCAGGGCAATCAGATTATTTTCTGCTATTGAGTTGTATAAGCTCTGTACATATTTTGGATATTCACCCCATATCAGCTATGATTTGCAAATATTTTCTCCCATTTGGTAGGCTGCCTTTTCATTTTGTCAAATCCTTTGCTATGTAGAAGGTTTTTCATTTGATGTACTCCCACTTGTCTATTTTTGCTTTTGCTGCCTTTGCTTTTGGTGTCAGATCCACAAATCCTCACCACGGCTGATGTCAAGGAGCTTACTGGCCGTGTTTTCTTCCACTCGAGACTCTCATCCATTTTTAGTTTATTCTCGTGTATGGTGTAAGACAGTGGTCCACTTCTCACAATATCATTTATTGAAGAAACTGTCCTTTCTCTACTGTATAGTCTTGGCTCTTTTGTCATAAATTAATCATCTATGCATGGGTTTACTTCTGGGCTCTCTATTCTGTTCCACTGATTTTTCCCTTTTTTATGCCAATATCATACTGTTTTGATTGCTACAGCTTTGAAATATAGTTCAAAACCAAGCAGTTTAATGCCTTCAGCTTTGTTCTTTGGCTATCCAGGGTTCTTCTGTGGTTCCGTACAAATTTTAGGATTGTGGAATCTATTGTGTGGATTGTGTGAAAAATGCCATTGGAATTTTCATAGGGAGTACATTCAGTTTTCAGATTGCTTTGGGTAGTAAGGACTTTTTAATATTCTAATTCATGAGCACAGAGTATCTTTCCATTTATCTGTATTGTTTTCAATTCCTTTCATCAATGTTTTATAAGTTTTCAGCATACACATCCTTCAATTCCTTGGCTAAATTTATTCCTAATTTTCTTTTTGATGCAACTGTAAATGGGACAGTTCTCTTAATTTCTGTTACTAGTGTACAGAAATCCAATAGATTTTTGCGTACTGATCTTTATATCCTGCAACTTTACTGAATTTTTTTATTAGTTTTGGGTGCAGTCTATTTAGAGTTTTCTATATATATATTGTCATCTGCAAATAGTGACCTTTTTACTTCTTCCTTTCCAAATTGGATGCCTTTTATTTCTGTTTCTTGCCTACTTGCTCTGGCAAGAACTTCCAAATACTATGTTGAATATGGAAAGCTGCTGCATTTTTCCTTATACAATTGTAAACTCCTAGAATTTTTCTTCTGCTGAAAGACTCCTCTCACCCTCCTTCCATTTTACTGTCAGTTTATTCTGGCCACAGGGTATGATGCCGCTTGTTATATTTCTTTCCTTTTTAAACATCTTTCTTTAGATGAAGGGAATGCTGAAGTGATACTTCTATTGGGGTTTGTTTCTTAGGTTAATATCATGTATCAGTATACTTTTGAAAAAACTAATGGAATATAATCCGTATCTGTTTTTCCTTCTCAAACTGGTTTTATATATTGTCCTTCAAAATGGCCTCTTATTTTTTAAAGAAATCTAACATTTACAAGACAGTACACAAATCCTGAGTGTATAGCACAAAGCAAATCTACGTAACTGGCAACCAGAACAAGAAAAAGAACTTTACCAGAACCTCTAGTCTCTTCGTGCCCCTTTCCAGGCACTGGCTCTGTCCACAATAATCTGTTTCCTGACTTCTAATACTGTAGCTGAGTTTTGGTTGTTCTGAACTTTATTTAAGTGGAATTATAGCTTATGTTCTCTTTTGCCTGGCTTCTTTCACTCAGTACTATATTTGAGAGATTCATCCAATTTTTGCAACAGATAAAACATTCTCAAGGGATAACTGATTGTTTCCTTTTAATCCTGACACTAGAAATAACTTTAGCAGCTTGTCTTGAAATTCCCAACTTCCAGATACATTCATGAATTAAAGCATTTGTAGGGAAACTACAAGTAAGAGACATAACTTTAAAATCAAAGCTTAATCACCTTAAAAAGTATTCTGCACCTTCTCAGTTTGAAATTCATTATAAGTAATTTTTTTTCTTTAAAAACAAAACCTAGCTTTTCTCATCATTATACCTTGGGTATTAGCTAATATTTACTAAAATTTTTTCCGAATCCTTAGGTCTTAATCATTTTCTGAGTGGTCACTGAAACCCAACATGGAGAAAAAAATATCAAGAGTGACTGATATGTTCAAGGCAGAGTTTTAGAAGATGAAAAGCTGCTGACAGCAAGGTTAGGAAGTCTACAAGGAGAAAATGTACTTCAGATGCCCACACCAGGTCAGTGGAGGTACTTGGTAAAGGTGTACTCTGTAAGGATGAGATCTGAAAAAGAACACATGCAAAACCCCACAAAAAACAATGTGATCTTCCCCATCCCAGATCTGAGGTGGGGGAGCCTAGGAAGAGCCTAAGGCTAGACTCAGGGATTGTCAAATGGGACTTCTTTTTGGCACACTACATTCATGCCTGGTCACTTCTGCCGGTTGATTCATTTAGTTTCTGTTCTCATGAAGGCAGAATTTAGATGCCAACAAAAGGAGACATATTTACCTTATGAAAAATACGTGATGTTCTTATATCTAGAAGATAATGAATTATCTTCTAAGAGTCATCCAAATAACTTGCTAAAGCACCAGTTAAGATGTAACAGACAAAATGAAATACAAGACGGTTCCAAAAAGCACAGAGTACAAAAAAACCCTAGTAAGTACATCTTCAGTTATGAAGGTCACTCAATGAATGGTAACATCTAGCAGTATTTTATCTATATTCTAAGAAACTATATAATGCCTGTTTATGAATTATCCTTATAGCCTAGACTACTCACACCAGAAAAAATGGGAACTTCATGTGTTTTTTTTCTCAGCAATTTCATAGGTTTTAAAAAGGAAAAGATGCCAACAGGGCTCACAGAGAAATGAGCTTTGTGAGAAGGATAACAAAGCAGGAGTGAAAATACAAATGTGAAAGGCCAACAGGATGAAGGTGGGAAGATGTAAGTACCGTAAACATTCTATTAATTAGAAATGGCTATTCTGTGTTACCACACAGACATATGGATTAGAACTACAGGAAGCCACTATTACAGATTCACAGACCGCTACATGGAAGCACAGGTGATGAAGAGGTCAGGCTTTTTCCACAGCTACTGTAGGGTGGCATACGGTCAACAGTGAATTCTGGAGTCTAGCGTAAGTGAATACTTTGGTCCACAGCTCTCCTACTTACTAGCTAGTTTGCTTCTGGGCAAAGTACTTCTATGATGGCTTAGCTGGCCTCCTACTTTATACAATGGGAATAACAAGAAACTGATCTACACCTCATAAGGTTGTTAATAGATAAAGTATCAACACAATGCTTGGCACACAAGCACTAAATAAATGGTAGTTATTACTACTTTTATTACTTCTTATACACTTAAAATACTTCAGTATTAACATAAGTTTGTGATTTTCCCTTGCTCTCCACAAAGCAAGCTGGTGTGATCAAAGAATCAGGGACTGTATTTGGGTCTTGAAAACTATCAAAACCAAAGACCGAAGAAACAATTTTCCAGAGCAAATAACCAGTCCCAACGGGACAGATTTCACTGTGGTAGTGATCCCTTTTACTTTACTTGTAAGTACAGTTGACCCTTGAACAATGTGGGGGTTAGGGGCACAACTGAAAATCCAAATATAACTTAAATGCCCAAAAATGTAACTACAAATAGTCTAGTGTTGACTGGAAGCCTTACCAACAACAAACAGTTGAGTAATATATATGCTGTAGGTTATACATATTAAATGCTGTATTCTGTCAATAAAAAATTAGAGAAAAGAAAATGTTAAAATCATAAAATACATTTATAGTATTGTACTGTTTACTGAAGAAAATCCACATTAAGTAGACCTGTGTGGTTCAAAAGTCAATTGTACTTTGTTTTAAGCACAATTTATGAAAAGAATTACTTCACAAAACCTATTTACATAAATTTAATACCTTTGCTTCACTGCTTACAACTGGTTTTACAGGGAACTGGACTTCTGTGGCTTTTAATATTGTATTTTCTTGAAGAATGTCTTGTTGAGATTGATTGTGACCAAATGGCTTAAAAAAAAAAAAAATAAAATGTTTAAATATTTTGTGAGAAATTTCTAAGAGTAATTATCAGTGAATCCCCAAGATACAAATGATTTGTATTCTAAAAAATCCTGTCCTCAGTTATTTGGAACTTGGGATGCATTTTCTTAAAACAAGGTTCTGAGAGCAGGCTGAGTAAACCCATCTAATCAATCCTCCACATAGCTTAAACGTTGTGAATAAGCACAGAAAATAATGCTGTTACAATATAATCAAGATAAAAATATAAAAAGAAATCAAAATTATGACTGGTCAAAAAATTGAAATACGATTAGAGGAGTAAGAAGCAGTGAAAATGTCTGTGAAAATTCCAAAGAATAAAATACCTGATCACAATACACTCCCTTTAATGACAACTCAGGGATGGGAAAGTGTCTGTGGCAGCTCACAGTTCTGACTTCAATATAAAGAGAGGTTTGGAAAGAATTAAGGCTAAGTTTGATGAAGTTTCCCTGAGAAAGCTAAACTGAGTAGGAGGAGGGGAGACAATGTGAGCAAATAGAGAGAATGGAGAATGAAAAGTGTTTTCCACTTTCCAATATCCCTAAATAGCAGAAAATGTTAGCACTATTAACAGATAGCTTCTTTTACTTTAAAAAAAAAAAAGGGGGGGTGGGTAGGGATGCCAAAAGCAACTTAAGTAAGCTGCCTGGCTTTCCTTAGAAGGGTCTACACTGACTTGAAGTTAAACTTTGCATTTAAAAAGGAAATTCAACTTATCTCCACACAGCAGAATCCTGCATACTTTAACTTACCTTTCTACCATAAAGACACTGAAAGAAGATGACTCCAACTGACCATACATCAACCTTGTTGGAAATCTTTGGTGGTTCTTTTCCAACCACAAAACACTCAGGAGGTAAATACCTATAGTTTTTTTGGGGGGTGGGGTGGGGAGGGTAGAAAACAGGAAAGGATACTGTTAAGAATCTGTAACTTAAAGCCTTCTCAGTGTACATTTAGAATACCCAGAACACTCCTGTCATCTATACATAAAACCTTAGGACTTTTATCAATGAAAATGACCAAAACTTTTGAAGCATTTACATCCTTGTGTTATCTGACTCTAGAGTCAAAACCTACAACTTTGTGATGAAGTCTGCAATATACACATATTATGTATACGTATTATACATACTAACAAATCTTTCATTTCTGTAGACAATATATATATAATCATTAGAAATTACAATGTTCTAATTTGAGCAAGCAATAATAAATGCTCTCCCATGCCCTTTCACCTGAGTTCAAACCGTAGACAATTCTCTTCCTAAAGCACCTATCTGACCACTTGGTTCTTCTGTTTAAAAAACTGCAACAGGGGCGCCTGGGTGGCGCAGTCGGTTAAGCGTCCGACTTCAGCCAGGTCACGATCTCGCAGTCCGTGAGTTCGAGCCCCGCGTCGGGCTCTGGGCTGATGGCTCAGAGCCTGGAGCCTGTTTCCGATTCTGTGTCTCCCTCTCTCTCTGCCCCTCCCCCGTTCATGCTCTGTCTCTCTCTGTCCCAAAAATATAAATAAACGTTGAAAAAAAAAAATTTAAAAAAATAAAAAAAAATAAAAAAAATAAATAAATAAAAAAAACTGCAACATCATGAACCACCAGATTAAGACCTCCTAGCTCTTGTTGGTACACACAGACCCATCCTAATCTAGAAGCAACTTAAATTTCCAAAATCTGCACTCCCTCTTCTCCTTCATTCCCACACCTCCTCCAACTGGCTAGGCAAAAACAATTCACTTGGTTCCCCAACAATGCCCTCTGCTGCATCCACCCCCACTACCCACCACCTTCCTATGCTTAATATGAATCTCTAATGCCTTCCCTGACCACTCCATTTGGTGAGTACCTTCTCTCTTTTAAAAGCCACTGGACCTTCATAAGCCTTCTCTGTTTCCTCCAGGCTGAGCTTTGCTCCCTCCCTACGTAACCAGCAGATGTTATGGTACCTCTATTATGGCATTAAACTAAAATCCCACTAAACTGTGAGCAGAGCTCAAGGAGCTCTTATTATTCAATGTGTAGTTTTTGAACACAGCAGCATCTGAAATATGTTAAGAATTCAAAAATACTATTTTCTATTTTTAAGTTCATAATTTTATATAAAGGAAAAGTAAAAATAAATTTGTCACACCTTAGATTATAAGTAAAAAAATCAACCAGGGATGCAAGCATCTCCCACCTTAAAATTTAGATAAACTTAAAAAATCCTGGAAAGGAGTTTTTTTTTTTCCTTTAGTTTTATACTATGATAAAATCATTTACATTTCAGCAGAAATGGATAGATTTCTTAAAAAAAAAAAACTTTTTGAAAAAGAACCAACAAAAATGACCAATAATTTATTTGGAATGTAAATCCTTTTCTACCCCCCAAATCAAGTAAAAAGCCAGACTTGTTTTATGATAAAAATATGGATTTTGTGTATATTTATGAAACAAGAATGGCTTGTACACACTATGCTGCACTGTCTCTTGAGGCAAAAGTGTAGAACCAAAGAGAGAAATTGTAGGGAGAGAGACCCAAAGCTGGAGAGAAATGACCACGAGGACTTAGTGAAAAATTGCATTTGAGGCCTGAGAGGAAAGGGGAGATAAAACTGATTTTCTTCTAACTGGTAACTGACAAATAGTTTATACATTTCTGGGGATGAGATGTAATTTGCGAAAGTACTATATATATGTATTGTAAAAGACTGTAGAGAACATCGCAGTTTACCAAACACACAGCTAAGAAACTTAAAACCATTTTTAAAAACGTTTCTATGGGAAATACATTCCAGGTTACTACATGGAAATACTCCAGCCCTCCTGTCAGAGGTAAATCTCCTTGCCCAGACCTCCACTAGCAAAGCCGGAGTGCGAGGGAAACAACATAGCAGGAAACTCTGCAGAGGAAGGATGATCTATTATTTAGAACTGTCTAAATCTACTACGTCAAGCTGTCATCCATAGAATCCAGGGTTCTATAAAGGAGACTCGATGCTGCAACTCTAAAGACTGCTGATTGAGGATACTAACTTTTAGGGGGTTACTAATTTGATAATTTTCTTTAAATATGGAAGAAAAATCCATGACCTACTATCTTACTCATATTCCTAGAAAATGGTACAAGCAGAATTTGAGAGTAAAATGGTTTTAGAAGAATATAGGGAAAGTCAAGTTCACACAGACCGGCGGCATCCTGTGGAACTGGTTATTATGTGCCCAGGCTGTGTGAAGACTGTTCTAGAAACTAGTCTCCATCCTGTTCAATGAAGTTGTGTACAGTTCTGTCTCCAATTAAAATTTTACTCCTTTTGCTAAACTAAGTTTGTTTTGAAATCTTATAGTCTTATGTTCTCCACTTTGGTGCATTTGACCAGAAGTTTGAAAATTCACTGAGAAGTGATTTTTGTCAACACCTTGGTACTCTGAAGGGAATGACACTCATTTAGACTTAGATCTATGAATCTATAGTTCTATCCAGAGTTTATACATATGAAGTTATTAAAAGGGATTTCTGAGAGTCAAGTCCAAAGACCAAGAATATGCTAAACTTCTTTCCCATTGTAAGATCAATGCAATCTTCATCTTCAACAAAAACCAAAAACTTCTACAATGAGGGCTTCATGCTTATGACTATTGCTTGTAATAGTTATGTTGTTATATTCACGTAAGTATTTTTACTCATGATAAACATCACTTGAATATACAGAAAGAAAATCTGTAATTTTCTATGTGAGGCGTTTCTGGCTGGTAGATCCTGAAGTCACTCACTGATGCCAAGTCATTCTCCCTTCACTTACCTCATATTTATAGTTAAGGGCAGATGAGAAAAGAAGGCTGATGACAGGAATCTCCCTCTTGACTCAAACTTCGCATTAGTACCCCCTCACCACAGTAACCTCCAAAATACATGAACATAAAAACTAAACTCTCACAAAAAGTAGTCTACACAATTTCAATTCAAGATAAATTATACATTTACCAGTAAGTGCCTGCCCCTTGAGAAGTTAGATCCATTCCATCTACACCATAGCTATCATCATCCATAATCTTAGATAGACCAAAATCAGTGATTTTGATTTCTCCACATGCTGTGCCATCTACCAGAAGAATGTTTCCTAAGAACAAAATATAAGGTTTTTTTTTTTCTTCAATGACACATAGATGCTGACTTGTGGGCAACAAACAGATATTTAAAAATACATAGTTAAAAATGTAAACAAATTATAATTTTAAAGTGTGGTAACACAATAAACATTTTAAATTCTTCTAGTATTCCATGGAGTTTTTTGTAAAAAGCTAAACCACAAAGCATATTTGCAGATAACTTAATAAATAAAAACCACAGTCTTTAAAGTTTAAAAAAATATAATTATTTTGACAAATTTTATTAATTACCTGGCTTAAGATCATAATGTATAATAGGGGGTTTGATTTCATTGAGATATCTTAGTGCATTTACAATTTGCATTACAATAGACCTAGCTTCCTTCTCTGACATTAATTTATGTTGCTTCAGATAGAAATCCAAGTCATTGCCTTCACAGTATTCTAACACTGTACAAAACCTACAATGAAGAGAAAAAAAATTAGACTTAAAATATCACCCAATAATTATCACAGTGGAGAAATGAAGTGTATATCATAACAGAATAGGGAAAGCAAAAAAGCAAACAGTTTCTCTTAAAAACTAAATCCTTGGGGCGCCGGGGTGGCACTGTCGGTTAAGCGTCCGACTTCAGCCAGGTCACGATCTCGCAGTCCGTGAGTTCGAGCCCCGCGTCAGGCTCTGGGCTGATGGCTCAGAGCCTGGAGCCTGTTTCCGATTCTGTGTCTCCCTCTCTCTCTGCCCCTCCCCCGTTCATGCTCTGTCTTTCTCTGTCCCAAAAATAAATAAAAAACGTTGAGAAAAAAAAAATTTTTTTAAATAAAAAAAAATAAAAACAACTAAATCCTTATATTCACTTACGTATCTGTATCCAAGGAGAAATAATCATAGAGTTTAACTATCCTAGGGTGATCCAGTTCTTTATGTATTCTATATTCTCTGCAGGCATGTCTATGAGAAAAGAGAGTATATTCATTCTCCATGACTATTAAATGTACTTTCACTTGATACAAACCAGAAAGTATTAATATTTACTTGTGGTAGTTTTCCTTCTTCTCATCCCTCCAGCTTTTATTAAGCTGATGGATCTTCACAGCAGCATATCTTTGTTCATAAAGGTCAAAAGCCTAGAATTCAAGGCATAGTAAAGTTAGGACCAAAGATCAACTGAATAGCTGAAGAGATTTTTACAAATTTTTTGGTGATGATTTTTGCAGTAATATGGAATTAGAACGTACACTACAGTTTTTGAACTATGATTATATATAGTTCTATGACACATTTATTACTGGAAAAAAGATACAAATTCCATCATACTACATCAGAGAAAACTTTAATGTGAATTTTCATATTCAAGTTCGTAAGTACCAATATATTGAATCAAGATAAAACAAAGTTATTGTTTTCTTTCTTTACACATGAATCTGGCTCCTCTCTACTGGCAGTAGCAGTAAGCAGCCAACAGAACAGATGGCTATAGTGTGTTTTTTATGGGCCGGACAAAGCAAACCTTTTTCCTCTACCTTTTTCTAGCAACTCCCCACTTCTTTAAAAATAAACAGGTTCCAGGGCGCCTGGGTGGCGCAGTCGGTTAAGCGTCCGACTTCAGCCAGGTCACGATCTTGCGGTCCGTGAGTTCGAGCCCCGCGTCAGGCTCTGGGCTGATGGCTCAGAGCCTGGAGCCTGTTTCCGATTCTGTGTCTCCCTCTCTCTCTGCCCCTCCCCCGTTCATGCTCTGTCTTTCTCTGTCCCAAAAATAAATAAAAAACGTTGAGAAAAAAAAAATTTTTTTAAATAAAAAAAAATAAAAACAACTAAATCCTTATATTCACTTACGTATCTGTATCCAAGGAGAAATAATCATAGAGTTTAACTATCCTAGGGTGATCCAGTTCTTTATGTATTCTATATTCTCTGCAGGCATGTCTATGAGAAAAGAGAGTATATTCATTCTCCATGACTATTAAATGTACTTTCACTTGATACAAACCAGAAAGTATTAATATTTACTTGTGGTAGTTTTCCTTCTTCTCATCCCTCCAGCTTTTATTAAGCTGATGGATCTTCACAGCAGCATATCTTTGTTCATAAAGGTCAAAAGCCTAGAATTCAAGGCATAGTAAAGTTAGGACCAAAGATCAACTGAATAGCTGAAGAGATTTTTACAAATTTTTTGGTGATGATTTTTGCAGTAATATGGAATTAGAACGTACACTACAGTTTTTGAACTATGATTAT